AGCCCGGGTCCCTCCGCCGCCGACCCCGTGGGCGGGGCTGGGCTGGTCTCCATGGCGACGCCCGGGCCCGCGCGGGGGGATTGTTGTGGCACAGGCTCAGTGGGGCGGCGGTATTGCTGCCCTGCGCCGCTCGGTTAGGCCGGGTTCGGTCTTGGCCAGCCCCGGGCTTTCATGTGTCCGCCCCCCATGCCCAGATGCTGCCAGGACCCAGCGCGGGCAGTTGCTGGAGCTGGGAGGCCCCTGTTTTGTGAGATCCGCAGCCGCAGCTGGGCCTGGTGCAGCCCTGTGGCTGGGAGTCCTATCCTCTCAGTGCTCCCAGCCACAGGGGAGGGGAGAGACCCCGCTGCACATGCAGATGAAAGCTGGGTAGCAACCAGCTATAAAGTTTGTACATTTTCAGGGTCTAACTTTATAGCTGATGGGAGCATTTTACGGTGTGATAGCTACCTGGCATGTGTTACTGGTATTCAGGTAATTGTGTGATACCTGTAATGAAGAGGAGGCAAACAGTCCCAGGGCACAGCCAGTTTGTGGTCTACACTCATATTCATTCAAGGAAGAAGGGAGGTGAGGTGGGTGGATAGTGGGGCAGAGGGAGAAGAAACCTTTGACAGATGAAACAAGCCACACAGCGGCAGCAGACATACACCTCGTGGTTTGCAGGAGTGCAGGACTAAACTTGGAGGAATTTCCTAGGGACGCATCTGGTTCTGAAATCCTACACCTAACAGCTTAGACTGGCAATTCTCAACCAGGATGTTGCAGCACCGGGGTGCCTTGAGATTCTTTGGTAGTACAGGTTTCCCTCACTTTATGCTGTATGTGCATTCCTGGAAAATGGCACATTAACTCAAATTCGCATAAAGAACCCACTTCACAATGCAATAAATAAAGATATCTTCCAAGACCTCGACTGTACTGACCCCCAGACCCAATTTTACAAGGCAGTTTTGGTACTCACCAACAGCAGACTCTCACAAGCACAGGGTAGTGGTGAATGTTACCGTAGTGGGGATGGCAACTACACGTGTACACATGATGCGTCGCGGACAACAACCGAGCACGAATCCACACAGGAGACTATATTTTGGTGCATGTCACTCCCACAATGCACTGCACAAAGCAGCTGACTACGGGCCTCCACCACACCGATTGCATAAGAGTGAATTTACCTCACATATAATGCATTTTTGATATAAAAAGGGTCATCACATAAGAGCAAATTTGCACATACAAAGCCTGCATAAAGTGAGGGAAACGTACGTGTATTAGAAGGATGTGGCCATGATGGTCTAGGAATTAAGTGAGAAGCAAGGATTTCTTAGGGTGATGTCATTCATTGGACCAACTGCGTAGTTTGAATACAGTTAGACAAGCTTTCAAATGCAGGACATTCTTTATCAGATCTGAGTAGTAAAAGCCAGCATGGCAGTCCTTGAAACCCTTTCCATAGGATGCCGTGCAATGTTAGCCTTGTTAGGTGTTCAAACACAATTCAGAACATAAAACCAGACATTTCAAATAGGAATCTATAGTGTTAAAAACAATCTAACCAGTGCAGATAAAGGAGGGTTTAGGGCTGAGGAACAGTTTATCAGAATTAATGGGGCAATTTACATTGACCAAGCATGGGATTAACAGCTATTCTGCAGCCTTAAGTGCCCATTGTGGTTCCATTTTGCCTGAGCTAGCAATTAACAGGTGTTTACCATTAAGAGTGCACCCACCTACCTCACCATGTGGGGTGAATGAAATTAATTAGATTTTTTCTAGCAAAAATCTTAAAGCTACAGCCTGAGGCAGAGACTTTGGGCAGTCCCCAGAACATCAAGTCCCCTGGGAATACAGAAGTAGGGATCCAGGAAGCCCCTTCTGCTGCCCCCACCCCACCCTTGCCCTGAGAGCTGCACTGTGTGTCCCCTACCTGCCCAGCATGTGGCAGGATGCACACTCATGTTGCACAGTTCCTGGGAAAAAGCAGCAGGACACAGTGATCCCCAGCCCTCAGTGGGCAGACTGCCTCTGTCCCATACAAATCCAGAGGCCATATGCCCCCCATGTCCTCCCCTGGGGGTGTGTGCAGCGGCAGGAAGCTGCACTTCCCCCATGCCTCTGGGCAAGCTGCCTGTGGCTCTGTCACATGACTGACCCCAGGGCCCTATTTACGACAGCCCCTACCCCACTCCCTCCCTCCCCGTGGGGGGACT